ATCGAATGAAAGCCAATCGATTGAACGTCCCCTCCACGTCGCCTCCCCCCCATCCCTCCTCGTCCCTCCTTACTCTCCCTTTTCATCTTTTGTGCTCCATCCTCCTCATCCTCCTCTCTTGTTCTCTGTCTTGGAGCCCGCCCGTAGGAGTAGGAGGAGTAGTGGGGGGAGACGGAGGGGGATGAGCGGGAGGAATGGTGAGGGAGAGGGGGGGGGATGTTGATGAGGAGGACGAGGCCTCTCTCCTCCCTTCCTCCTCCCCCAATCGGAATACAGCAGGAGCACAAGCTGCTTACAATAAGAATGCAATAGGAATTCCTTCTACCCTCCCTTCCTCCTCCTGAAATAGGAATACAGTTCAAACACAATGGGGATGTAGTAAGCGTGCAATGGTATTCCTTTTCCTATCAACTCCTTCTCCTTCCAATCCGAATACAAGAAAGCATACAGTTTGAATACACTCCGAACATGCAGTGAGGATCCTTTCCCCCCTCCCTTTCCCCCTCCCTTCTCCTTCCTCCTCCTCCAATAGGAGTACAGTAAAACAAACAAACGCATTATACATAGAAGCAACGTGCAATATGAATGCCGTCACCGCTCGCGCCCTTCTCTTTTCAATCGGAAATTAGTAGGATACAACGCGAATGCAATCATAATGCAATGCGAATTCCTTCCCCTCCCTTCCTCCGTTTTCCAGTTGGAAGGCGTAAGAAACGCCATATCGATACATACCATTCAATAAAAGATGCTCGTCCTTTCCCTCCCTCCAATCGGAACCCTCGTAGGATCACAATGCGAATGCCGTAACAATGCAATACGAATTCTTTCCCTCCCCCTTCCTCCTCGCCGAATAGTAATACAACCGGGTTGCAGTAGGAACGTACTAAGAATAAACGAGCACATCCATTTCCCCTCCGTTATTATTCCGGCCGGAAGACGGTATGATCACAGTATGCATGCAAAAAGGATGCAAACATATGTCCGCCCTGACATCTAATGAGACCACGAGCAGCGTGCACTAAGAGTTGTTTCTCCCATCCCTTCTTTCTTGCCCAACGAGAATACAATAGAAAGACAGCGCGCAATAAACAAGCGCAATCTGTATACACTGAGCATCGAGTAATGTTTCCTTCTCCCCCCAATCCCTCCCCCCGCAATACAAAAACAGTACGGATGCCATAAGAATATGCAATCGGGATCCCTCCCCCCCATCCTTCCTCATCCTCCAATAGGGAGGAGGAAGGGATGACAAAGAGTTGGCCAGGAGCCTTCTGCCTCCACAAATGGAGTCAACATGTGGAGGCCACTCCACATAAGGAATCTTTATGTGGAGGCCCTCCACAAAGGGAATCAATATGTGGAGGCTCCCCCACACATGGAATCAATATGTCGCGGCCCCCTCCAAATAAGGAGTCATTATGTGGAGGCTCCCCCACGCATGGAATCAATCTGTGGAGGCTCCTCCAAACACAGAATCAATATGTGGCGGCCCCCTCCACGAAAAGGAATCCATATGTGAAGGCTCTTCGACAAAGGCACTCAACATGTGCAGGCGCGTGCGCGTTTTGCACTGATCGGCTGCATGCGCAGACGCAGACATACAGATGCGAGGATGTGCCACGGTTGAAGTGGGGCGGTTCAGAGGATGAGGTTGTAAGAAGAGCAGGGGCACCGATGTGCCCGCGCGCACGTTCTTTGGACACTCGACTTTGAAATTCGTCCGACACCGAAGGTTTTTGGATTTTCGAAGGATGTCGGCATGCGCCCGCGACGACGCGCGCGCGTGCACTTCGTCCCGTTTTTTATAAAGGATTCATGAATGCTTATGACTGTTGATAAACGAGTGCGCGCGCATTGTATGTTTGGCAGAGGATGGTGGGGGTGGGGTCGATACGGCTTGGCGGGGATAGTACGATTTCACAGGTAGGAAGGGCATTGGGTCAGAATCGTATGGCAATTGTAATACAAAAAGGTGGATATGCAAGACCGGGAGGGGGAGGGTGGTAGATTTTTTTTTATATATATATATATATATATAGATAAGAGAACCTGCGCGGTGCAATTTACGCGCGGCAACCGATGTAATGCAATATATGCGGTGCAATCTATGTGGTGCAATTGATTTTTACCCATGGTTTGAATCATCCCACGCTCTTGCAAACATCCCACCCACCCACCCGCAACTTGGTTTGCAAAACCTCTTAGGACCGACTACGACGACACCGACGATAACGCCTACGACGACACCGACGACGTTTCCGACGACTTCGACGACGACAACGACGCTGACGCCGATTAAGACGACGACGACGATGACGACGCCAATGTAGACGACGATGAGGGAGGAGGAAGGACGACGACGGCGACAACGACGACAACGACGACAACGACGAGGGAGGAGGGAGGACGGCGACGACGCGAACGACGAAGAAGGAGGATGGACGGCGACGCCGACGACGACAACGACGAGGGAGGAGGGAAGACGACGACGACAACGACGACGACGACGACGACGACGGCGACGAAATAGGAGGGACGACGACGAGACGCCGACGACGGACGACGACGACGACGACGAGGGAGAAGGGGGATGGACGACCACGGCGACAACGACGACGCAAACGACCACGACGCCAAAGAGGACGACGACGACGAACACGAGGAAGGACAGAGGACGACGTAGAGGACGACGACGACGACGCGGGAGGAGGGAGGACAGCGACGACGACGACGACGACGACGCAAGAGCGCGCGCGCACGCTTTTGTTGAAAACCCGTGTTGCGAAACCTGGTGTTTTTTGTAGATTTTTTGGACACGATTTTGACATCCTTCCGAAACCGATGGGTTTTGAAGGTTTTCGGCATGCGCGCGCGACGTCGCGCGCGTCTGCACTTCGTCCCGGTTTTTTGCAGAGAATTCGCGCGCCGGCACACGACAGATTTCGACATGCGCGCGCGCGAAGCCCGTTTGGTAGCATTTTGGGAAAATCTTGAAAAACCGATGGTTTTCTTAAGATTTCGGAAGAGCTCGCGCGGAAGCTTTTTTAGCAAATCAGTGTTGCGAAACCATGTGCTTTTGTATGTTTTTTTGGGAAGCTCGATTGCGAAATCCTTCTGGCACCGAAAGTTTTGGGCATGCGCGCGCGACGACGCGCGCGTGGGCACTTCGTCTCGCTTTTGCAAGGGATTCGCGAACAAGTGTTATGCTATAACAAAAAATGTAACCGCATAGTTTTTTATAGAAAAGCAAGGGAAACTCAGGGGGGGATACCGTCTGGTCTGGGACATTGTGATTTCATATTTAGGATGGACATGTGGTCATAATCACATACGATTTTGCACACCCCAAAGGGGTAACGATAACGCCGGGGGGGGGGTAGAGTCTATTCTCTTCTTAGAAACAAGAATCCTGTGGTGCAATCTATGCGACGGCGACGTCGACGGTGGCGACGGGCGCGCCGCCCGCAAAAACTGCAATTCACCCCGAGATGTTTAAGCCAAGTAAGGACTTTTATGTGCAAGCCTTGTTGGGGGAATGTCCCAAGCATAGTTATTATTTGTCCCCCTCTCAGGTGCCCAAGCTGTTTTTTGAGTTGGAGTGTCCCTCTCAGGGTTCGCACCTGATTTTTCACACGGGGAAGTATTGGACCTCAGATTATGTTGTTGGCTCCGGCTTATCAAATAAGCGGTTCCTACCGGATATTTCTCCACAGTTATTCAACATCGCGCTCTCCCGCTGGATTTTTTTGCAATTCTTGACGCTCCGCGTAACTCCACCAGCCCACGTTCTGAGAACAGATGGCGACAGCAAGTCAGAGAACCGCGGTCCTGTAGGACAAGTTGCGCCATTGCAACGCACGCTTGAGGGGACTCGAGTATTGAGGGTCTCGAGAAGGTATGAGCATACAGTTCAAGAGGCGTCCAGCGAGATCGCCGATGTGAAAGAACACCTCAGGAGGTTATTTATCATGAGTTTGCACTTTGTTCGCGAGCTTCGAAAACGTCTCAACCGAGAGCCTCGTTTTGTGCAAGTGAGGAACACATTTTTGCAAGTTAGAGTCATAAGTGCGGAGGAGGTCTCAGGCGCATCTTTCGGCCTGCCCTACCGACGCGTCTGGGGTGCGACAGGCAGGAGTTACAGTCGGGGCCCTGAAGAAGGAACCCTTTTGGTTGGGGAGGGGCTCCGCGTTCCTTAAGGGTTTCACAGCTTGCCTCAGGTTTTCCTTATGTTCTCGACAAGAAATCGAAGGTTAACTCATGGAAAAAAGGGGCCTCGTTCCTTATTTAGGGTTCCTTAGGTCAACGCTCCGATTGTATCTAGAAGGATCATGGCTGGAGCAGGAGGAGCAGCGGCAGCCTCAGGATTCGGAGGGAGTAAGATCACCGTCTGGAAGGCAGAGGAGGGGAAGGGAGGGGAGGGCGGCGGCAACGGCGAATAGGGACACGGATCACCGTGGGAAGGCAGAGTGAGCAAGGACACGGGATCACCGTGGGAAGGCAAATAAGGACACGGATCACCGTGGAATCACCGTGGGAAGGCAAATAAGGACACGGATCACAAGGATTTGAAAGGAGTAAGATCACCGTGGGAAGGCAGAGGAGGGGCAGGGAGGGGAGGGGGGCGGCAACGGCGAATAGGGACACGGATCCAGACGTACGGCCCGTGCTGGTGGCGACAGCGCAATCCTGAACGACGGGAGCAGGGCGCCGATCACGAAATGTTGCCCGCGTTGCAGTGCGGACCACCCTGACAAGGCCGGGGACGCACTGTGGGGGACCGAGTATCACAGCCCGTTCAGGCCCAGTCGGTGTGTGAGAACACACGCGTACGGCATAGCCGTCTTCTTTTCTGGGGCAGCTAGAAGAACACGACACCAGAGGATATCATGGTGCGTGCATGTTGACAGGGATGGAGAGGCTTGGGGGAGGGGGAGGGAGGAAGGGGAGGGGAACCTCGCGCTCGCGCGGAATGATGTGCTGGGCCCTGCATGCCCCGCCAGGAGCAGTGGCGCAACTTCTTCGACATACCGCAGTGCGGGCCGCCGCTCGCAAACTGGGGCTTTCTAGCCAGAGAGGGCCGGGGAGGCTTGATGAGGAACAGGGCGAAGGGAGCAGGAGGGAGGAGGACTGAGGACAGATGCTGATACTGATGATGATGCTGATCATGATGATGCTGATGATGACGACGATGATGATGGTGAGGATGATGATGATGCTGATGATGATGATGATGATGATCAGGATTATCATGATTATCAGGATGACGATGCGGATGAGGATGAAGAGAGGATGAGGATGGGGATGTTGTTGGTGATGGTCATGTTGATGGCGATGGTTGTGCTTGTGTTGGTACTGATGTCGATATGTATTTATATATGCATATCTATATATACGCATACATGGTTGTTGTGATGATGCTGATGCTGAAGCTGCTGATGATTGTGGTGGTGAGGGTGATGATGGTGGTGACTGTCATGAACATGATCATGCTGCTGACCATGATGATGACAATGTTGATAGTGATGCTCGTAATTCTGCTGATGCATGTGATGGTTGTTGATGGTGATGACGGCGGTGAAGATGGTAATGGTGATGTTGCCAATGATGCTGATTATGTTGGTTATGGTATTGTCGGAGTACTGCACTGGAGACTCCCCCAACCACCCGCATTCGCAGCACCCCAGGCACCACCGCTCACACTCATCCACCACCCGCACCTCCAGCACCACCGCACCCTTGAGCAGCAACTGCACCTCCATCAGCGCCCGTTGCCTGCTGTTTCGGGAGATTCGGTGAGTCATCGAACGTAGCCGTTTGTTTTGTCGGGTTGTGTAGAATTTGTTTTGCACTCTTGTCGGATCCTAAAGGAGCTGTGCGTATTCTGATAGGATTATACAGTGGCTGAGACAATTTGTACTAACCTTTTGAGCAGCGGTCAACAATCCGACACAGCTCTCACAAGAGCTGCAATTGTCTGTATGTTCGTATCCTACAAGGGTTGCGAGGAATTTCCTATTAGGACTGGGTTCGAATAGTCAGCGCCACTTATCGGACCCAGTAGTCATTCTAACTCACCTCCAGCAGGGTCCCACAGGAGCAATCCACACCTCTGGTAGGGTCCATACGACCTGTATAAGTTTTGTGCACCTTTCCTTTCTGATTTGGGCCGTGAGCGCCTTCAATTGAACACCATAGGAGCTGTGCGCACCCCTGGTAGGATCCTGTAGTAGGTGTGCGCATGTGTGCTTCTCTAATACTATATGCCGTGTGCCTCATGAAGAGCATCCCGGGGGCTTATTCGAAAACGTCAGGATAAGGATCCCGACGTGATCCTCAGGTTCGCCAGAAAGTCCCAAGGTTGCTTCAAGGTTCGGTCGAATTGCACAGGATTGATCGGATCCTTCGGTCCAGGTTGGCTGCCGGTCGGGTGGGGGAGGGGGTGCTTGTTAACAGGGAACAGTGATAAACCCTTTCCCAAAGGGAAGAAGCGAAGATGGAAGACACGCTCTAAACCACTCACCTTCACAGGGCTGGTGGGATTCCTCCTCGCCCTCCTGATCCTTCTACTCCTCCTGCTACTCCTCCCAGTCCTCCTTTTCATCACTTGGCTGATTAGTCTATCCTCCAATCCTCCCGACTCCTTCTGCTCTTGCTTCTCTTCATCCTCCCTTTCTTCCTGCTCATGCTGCCCCTCATCACCATGCTGTGCCTATGCGTTTTATCCGTAAGGGCTTCGCCCCCTGCCGCCTGCCCCCTCTCTCTGGGCGCTGTCGTGAAGCAGTATCGGAACTTCATGCGAGGCCGACTCGTAATGAGCAAAACCAATAGATGACCAGAGAGGTTACCACATTTGGCGATTGGTAAGACGTCGTGACCCTGCCGATCTGCGTGAGGAGTGCCGCCGAATTTCAGAAATGTAGCAAATCCGATATGTTTTTGGACCCTGACCATGCCGATCTGCGTGAGGGGTGCCACCGAATTTCAGAAATGTGGCAAATCCCTTGTGTTTTTGGACCCTCACCCCGCCGATCTGCGTGAGGGGTGCCAGCGAATTTCAAAGATGTGGCAAATCCGTTGTGCATTTGCACCCTGACCCCGCCGATCTGCGTGAGGGGTGCCACCGAATGTCAGAAATGTGGCAAATCCCGTGTGTTTTTGGACCCTCACCCCGCCGATCTGCGTGAGAGGTGGCAGCAAATTTCAAACATGTGGCAAATCCGTTGTGTTTTGCACCCTCACCCCGCTGATCTGCGTGAGGGGTGCCAGCACATGTCAGACATGTAGCAAATCCCTTGTGTTTTTGGACCCTGACCCTGCCGATCTGCGTGAGGGGTGCCACCGATTTTCAGGAATGTGGCAAATCCCTTGTGTTTTCGGACCCTGACCCCGCCGATCTGCGTGAGGGGTGCCACCGAATTTCAGGAATGTGGCAAACCAGTGTGTTTTTAGACCCTGACACCGCCGATCTGCGTGAGGGTGCAACCGAATTTCAGGAATGTGGCAAATCCAGTGTGTTTTTGCACCCTGACCCCACTGATCTGCGTGAGGGGGGGCACCGAATTTTTAGAGATGTGGCAATTCCCTTGTGTTTTTGAACCCTGACCCCGCCGATCTGCGTGACGGGTATCAATTTCTACCCCCCAGAAATTCTGAGAACTCCCAGGGCGTGGAAAAAATGCTCGTTTTGGGCCTCCCCCCCTCGCGCGGTCCATCAACAAAGAACAGTAAGCAGCAAGAAGTCAACGGGGAACAGCAAGCAGCAAGAAGCAGAACTGTAACGGTGGAAACTAGAAGCTGCAAGTGGTACAGGAGATTGCGAACCTTCGCCCTACAGCCTGGTGGCCCCACAAGGGGGCCGGCTGATTTCCCAGGCTTCTCGATATCTAGCCCGCAAAGCGGCAGACACAGTGTGCAGAGTGCGTGGGAGGAGGTCCGAAGGCGGAGTATCGGAGGTACGCTCTGAAGGCGCACGGGGAGTCGCTTCCCATCCACGCCTCGAACCAGGACGGTCATGCTCTCCTCGTTGTGTTCATGCCATGAGCAGTAGGGTGACCTCGAGCGACGGATTCACGCATTCGCCCTCTTTCGCTGCGTCCATCGGAGGGTCAGGGAGGAAGAAAAACACGGCGAATGGGCGAGAGAGGAGGAGTAAGGGAAAGGAGGAGGAGGAGAAGGAGGAGGAGGAGGAGGAGGAAGATGGGCTCGAACGGTGATGATGACGATGCTGCTGATGATGCTGCTGCTGCTGATGATGATGATGATGATGATTATGGTGATGCTGATGATGCTGCTGCTGATGATGATGAGGTTAATGATGCTGATGATGATGCTGCTGATGATGATGATGATGATGACGATACTGATGATGATGCTGCTGTTGATGATGATGGTGGTGCTGATGCTTCTGATGATGATTGTGATGATGATGCTGACGATAGTGATGCTAATGCTGATGATGGTGGTGGAAAGGCTGCTGATGATGATGAAGCTGCTGATGATAATGAAGCTGCTGATGAGAATGATGACGATGACGATGATGGTGATGATGACGATAACGATGACGATGACGACGATGACGACGATGACGACGATGATGATGATGCTGGTGATGATGGTGGTGGTGATGATGGTGCTGATGATGATGAGGTTCATGATGCTGCTGCTGATGATGCTGAGGATAAGGGAGATGTTGATAACGATACTGATGGAACTGATGCCGATGACTATGACGACGTTGGTGACTATGATGATGCGAATGACAATGATGATGTTGATCATGATGTTGCTGTTGATGCTGATGGTGGTGGTGATCCTGGTGGTGGTGATGGTGGCGATGATCATGATACTGATGATGACGCCGACAACGATGACGATGCCGATGCTGTTGATGATGGTGATGCTGATGATGATACAAAGTATGCTGACGATGGTGATGCTGATGTTGATGATGTTGACGTGGATGCTGATTTTGAGGTTGATGATGGTGTCGGGGGTGTTGGTGGTGGTGCTGACCAGGTTGATGACTACGATGGCGACCACGACCACGATGCTAATGAGGATGAGGATTCGGATGAGGACAAGGGAGGTGATGATGATGATGATGATGATGATGATGATGATGATGCGGATGCTGCTGATGATGATGATGATGATGATGATGCTGAGGCTGAGGATGTCGATGATGAAGAGGGGGGAGGACTCGGGTGGTGATCATAATGATGATGTTGATGCGTCTGATGCTTATTTGGATGATGATGCTGATGATGATGATGATGATGATGATGATGATGATGATGATGATGATGGTCATGTTGCTGCTGATGATGACGATGGCGATGATATTGATGATGGTGATGATGACGATGATAACGATGGTGATTCTGCTGATGATGCTGATGCTGATGCTGATGTTGATGTTGATGTTGATGGCGATGATGATGCTGCTGCTGATGATGCTGCTGATGATGATGACGATTATGATGATGATGATGATGATGATGATGATGATGATGATGATGATGATGATGACGATGCTGATGATGATGATGCTGATGATGTTGATGATGATGTTGATGATGTTGATGATGATTATGATGATGCTGGTGATGCTGACGACGATGCTTGTGATGATGGTGAGGATGATGATAGTGGTTGTGGTGGTGATCATGATAGTGACGATGCTGGCATATATCATGATACTGATGTTGATGATGACGGAGAGTGAGTAGTACGAGGAAGAGGAGCACCACGAGAAGGAGAGGTAAATGAGGAGGAGGGGCACTTGCAGGAGGGGGGGGAGGAAACTGTTTTGACTCTTACGGCTGCGACCACCGAGTGTTTGTTTGCAGGCGTGCATCAGAGCGGCCCGTCAGTAGGATCCACTGTCGCTACACTTTCGAATTCCAGGGGCCTCACCGCAGCCGCCCTCCTTCCTCCTGACTTGCACCTCGGTCCCTTCTGCCCCCCCTCCCTGCTCCCCCGTCCTCCTCCTCCTCCTGCTCCTCATCCTCTCCCCACGCCAACTCAACCTCGTGTTCTTCCTCTTCCCCCTTCCCCCGCTGCCACCGGCTGCTGCTGCTGCTGCGCTGCTGCTGCTGCTGCTGCTGCTGCTGCTGCTGCTGCTGCTGCTCTCCCTCCCTCCCTCCCTCCCTCTTGCGTGCCCTCCGCCCCCGCTCCATCACCTGCCCTGGCACGACCACCGCCGCCTGGCTGGCGGCGGCCGTCCACGGAGACATCCCCGCGGCCTGTGTCTCGGCCGTCGCCCGCTCCCCCCTCTTGGCGCCCACCGTGGACCGCGCCGACCGCAGCCGTCTTGGCGCCGAGGCCAGATGGCTCCGCCGACGGGCGCTGGGCTCCCGCGCCGCCCGCCCCGCGCCGCCTGGGCCGCCCTGTCGCTGGCCGCCCTCCTGCCGCGCCGCGGGCCGCTCCCGGGCAGCACCGCGCTCGGGCCGCTGGCCAGAGGCGCCGCGGCCCCTGGCGGCCCTCGGCGGCCCTCGGCGGCCCTCGCCGGCCCCTGCTGGCCCTCGGCGGCCCCCGGCGGCCCTCGCCGGCGGCCCAGCGCGGCCTCCACGCGCCGTCGGGCGCGCGCAGAGGACTGGCGAGACGTGCGCGCGAGGCTCGTCCAGGGCGAGCGCGAGGGGCGGGGCCGGGCCGGCTCGTCCGCCTGGGCGCACGCGTCGCCGCTCATCGAGAGGGGGTCCGTGCTGCTGACCAGGCCGGGCGACTCATTTGCTCTGAGCCAGCAGTACTTCCACAAGGCGGTCATACTGATCACCAGTCACAGCCTCGAGGAGGACATCGGGCTCGTCCTGAATCGGCCGAGCGGGCTCACGACCACAGACCTGGGCCTCGCCGGGCCAGCCTGGGACGTCCGATTTGGCGGAGGAAAGGACGGCCTCGGCCTGGCGGCAGACCCAGAGCGGTGCGGTGGCACGCAGGTCATCTGCCTGAGCTGCCCTGAGACGCCCGAGCTCGCCGAGCGGCTTGCGGAGACTGCCGAGGAGGTCCTCCTCGGCGTGTACCTGCTGGCCTGGGAGCAGGCTCGCGGCCTCGTCTCGGATGGCGTCGCCCGTGAGGCGGACTTCGTGACCTTCGTTGGGTATTGCAGATGGACTCAGGGGCAGCTGCAGAGCGAGCTCGACAACGGGGATGTCTGGTCCATGGTTTCAGCGAGTCGGGGTGCCCTGCTGGACGTACTCTCGGGCCCCCTGCTAGAGGATGCGCCTGGGAGCGACACCCAGGACCCAGCCAGTGGCCTTCGCCAGTGGCAGACAATTGGCGCCCTCCTTGGTCCGGACTTCCACGGACAGGTCCAGGAGGCGGAGGAGGCCGACGGGGGGCATGCCGACGAGATGCTGCGCCTCTGGGTCCGCCGAAGCCTCCTGCCGCCGCTGGGCCGTCACGTGGTCGCCGACGCCGCGGCGCGGGACCAAGGCCCGCGTGGGCCCCTGAGAGCTGGCCTGATACTCTTCGCGTCCGCCTCGGACTGGCTCCTGGGGAGGCCGTGGGGCGCCGCCAGCCCAGAGGCCCGCGAGTTCGACCTGAGCCTCCGCCAGGCCCCGCCGATGCAGTACCTGCACAGGGCCGTGCTGCTGCTGACGAGCGCGGGGGCGGGGCGGCCCTGCCGGGCCGTGATCCTGAACGGCCCGGTGCTGCGGCCCGGGCCGGAGCCGATCTGCTTCGGCGGGCCGCGGGGCGGCGAGGGGGCGCCCGGTAACCTCGCGTCCGCGTCCGCGGTCGTCGGCGGCCAGCGCCTGGTGGGCTGCTGCTGCTTCGAGGCCGGGCTGGCGGAGGCCCTGGTGGGCCGGGGCGCGCTGCGGTGGGCGAGCCCAGGCCTGCGGGCGGAAGACCTGCTCGCCGCGCCGCCGGGGCGGCGGTGGGAGGCGGCCGGAGGCCGCCTAGAGACGCTCGGCGACGTGCGCGCGGCCGCCCTGGGGGACGCGCAGCGCCAGAGGTGGTTCCGCAGGTTCTTCGGGCTGCGGATGGCCAGCTGGGACGGGTAAGGCTGGCCGTGCGGGCGGAGCGGGCGCCACCTTCTCCGTCCTCGTCGTCTCGGCGGGCTCCTCCCGAGCTCCCCCTCGCCCCCGACCCGCAGGCGCGCCAGCTGCTGCGCCGTCCGAGAGAGAGCTGTCCTCCCACCCTCCCACCTTCCCACCCTCCACCCCCTTTGGAGGGGGAAGTCGAGGAGGCAAGGCGAAAACGGCTGGGGACGCGGAGACACGTGTCGGTTGACGAAGACAGTCGGCCAGCACATGAGACGCGTGTGCGTGGCAGGATAGGTTGAAGGAGGGTGTGGAGGGAAGAGGCGGGAAGAGGAGGAGAAATGCCAAGGCATGTGTAGGAGACACGGCCACCGCGTGAGTTGTCGTTGCGGCGTAGCAGCACACGCGGCTTGCCAGTCGAGAGCACGCCATAGCGAACACCTGCGTCGCTCGTTTCTTCTCTCTCTCTCTCGCCCCCCCGAACATGGCTGGAGAGTAGCCCGCCCCCTCCGCGTAATGTTCCTTGCGCACAGGAGTTCAAACATTGGTCTACCATCTGTTTTGATCCCAGTCGGAACGCTTTCGGTGTCAACATTGTGTTGCCGCTGAAGCGTTGGCGTCATTTTACGATCGTTGGTTTGCTCCCGCCGTTCAGAATGGCACTCTCGCCTCAGCGCGGGCCACTGTTCTGGACCCGAGTCCTTCATCGTCGTCGTCGCCACCTCCGTTCCCCCCTCCGCCTTCCTGGCCCCCCTGCTCCCGCTCCTTCAAGCCAGTTCCCGCTTCAGCTGCTGCACGTCTTCCTCGTCCTTTTTCCTCCTCCTCCTCCTCCTCCTCCTCCTCCTCCTCCTCCTCCTCCTCCTCCTCCCCTCCTCCCCCTCCTCCTCCCCCTCCCTCCTCCTCCTCCTCCTCCTCCTCCTCCTCCTCCTCCTCCTCCTCCCCCTCCTCCTCCCCCTCCTCCTCCTCCTCCTCCTCCTCCTCCTTTTCCTCCTCCCCCTGCCAATCCTCCTGCTCATCTGCCACCGCCTCCCCTCACTGCCCCCCTCCTGTGCACGCAGCTTCCCCATTCCGATCGCGCATGCTGCGATGGGGGGTCTTGTTCGGAGCCCGCGCCCCCCTCCCCGCCTCTCCTCCCTCCTCCCCCCTCCCCGCCTGCGCTCCTGCGCCTCTCCCACTGCTTTCCCCCTGAATGCACTGCTCCTCTCCAAGGGCTCCCACGAGGGCGCGAAGTGAGTCGCGTTTCGCGCTTCGCAGGCCTCGTTCCTCCTCCCCCTCCTCCTCGTCCTCCTCTTCTCCCCTTTGGGGGCGGCGCGAGAGCGCGAAGTTGTTCGCGCTTCGCGCAGCGCGAAGCGTGAAGTTGGGAGCCCTTGGTTTCCCTCCTCCTTCTCCTTCGTTGTGCCGGTTCAGCCGTCCGAGTCATTCTTCTCCGCGACAGAGCCTGCTCCGTGTCAGGATTCCTTCATCATGGGGGACGTGGTCCCGCAGCTGGGGAAGGTCCGCGGGATCGAACAATTGTGCGGTGGGTTCGAGTGTAAGCGAGGAGGACGAGACGAGCACGCTGAGGAGTGGGCGGAACAGGAGGCGGGAATATGCTAAGCGAAAGGAGTAAAAGGATGAGGTTTGGGGCGAATTAGTGGATGACGTGTTTGGTAAGACCGCCAGCAGGAGGAGGGGGAGGTGGAGAAGAGAGCTGCAGATGTAGTGGCTCTAGCGACTTGGCCCGAACAGAGCAGCGATGCAGTACTCTCAGGCAACTGGTGCGCACCGTGGCAGCCTCGGGTTTGACGCGGTAGCCTTTTGAAAGTCGCGTCGCATTCCTCACCGCCGTACGTTCCCTTTCCTCGTCACCTCCCCTCCTCGTCGCGGCCATCCCGTGTGGCTTACCCTCAGTCCATACCTCCCTCATTCTTAGCTCGCCTCTTCCCTCGTCGCTCCTTTCGTTCAATGTGTTTGTTGTCCAGTGCCACTCTCCTCGCCCCTATGTTGGCCGGCTTCCTGTGATCCCAGGAAAGATGATGTTTGGATGCATGAGGCCAGAGAGAGAGAGAGAGAAGGGACAGAGGGACAGCGGAATATTTCAAGGGGGAGGGGAGGCAGTAGGAGTGGATGGGGAAGGGAGAGGAGTGAAGGGAGGGATGACGATGATGATGAGGAGTAGGAGGAGGAGGAGGAGGAGTTGGAGGAGGACCAAGCTCGCCATAGTCTCCAATGGTACCAACACCATATTTTTGGATGGGGTGTCCACCAGAGAAGTGCTGGATAATGGAGATGAAGTGCCCACATCTGTGCCGCGAAGCACTGGGATTCGTGTCCACTGGTTTCCCCTGACAATAGGCCACATGCGACATCCTTACAGTGTCCAGCAGGGCCAAAAAGCCTTTGCTTCCGATGTTGGGATTTCCCAGGGGAGCAACATTGTCACTCGTCAAGGTCGACCCTTCCGCGTGCGTCCGAGAGGCCCCATCATGACGTTCTCACCTTGCTCCAGGATCACACTGGGACTGAACCTCACCAGCTTGCTTTCAGCTTTCGGCCGCTCCCACGAGAGAGCAGCTCTGCTCAGGCATCACGGGCAGGCTGGGCACGCCTCTCGCGCACGCGTTCCCTCGCCGAGGTCAGGCGTGTGCCGTATCGTGCCTGGAGGCCGACACATTGCGCTGCCCTTCAGGTTCAACGTTACGCCTTGGGCAGACCCACAGGCCACTGCAGAGCCCTCCGTCTACGAAGAAGGACGGGTGCCCACGCCACCGAGCCCTCAGGCCCAACAGCACCCAAAGGCCGTGCTCCAGCCTTCAAGCCGAATGCACACGCAGGGTCCTCCGCATCAGACTGGGGGGATGCCACGCTGCCGAGCTCTCCAAGTGGTGACCCCCCTCAGTCTGAGTGCTGAGGTTCGAAGCCGACATCACATGCAGAGCCCTCCGCCATTGGATTAAGGCATGCTTGCTACGGAGTTCTCAGGCCCGATAGCACCGCCTCGGCCTGCACCACATAGCTTACACTACATATTCTGCACCACATGTATTGCGCCCCGTATAGCTCACACCACATAGGTTGCACCAATTCGCTTACACCACATTGCTCACACCCCATGTATCCCACTGCATAGCTTGCACACCGTAGACTGCATTGCGTAGCTTGCACCACATGGTTTGCACCACATGTATTGCACTGCATAGCTCACACCCCATACATCGGACCACAGATAGTGTACCACATAGCTTGCACCACATCGCTCACACCACCTGGTTGAGCACGTTGGCTCCCCATAACTTGCACTCCATATATTACACGAAATAGCTCACCCCACATAGATTGCACTGCATATATTGTACAACTCGGATTGCACTACATATCGTACACCCCATGGATCGCACCACATATATTGCACAACGTTGTCACTACGTATCTCTCACCCCCTAGGTCGCACCACACATTTAGATATATAGCACCACGTATATTGCGCTGTACATAGATGACACCACATAGCTTGCACTCCACAGCTTGCATCACATAGCTGGCACATCATAGCTGGCAATACGAAGATGTCATCACCTACTATGCTAGAAGCCTTTGTTTGGGGCCCAAGCTGGCAAATCTATTTGAAACTTCGGTGTCTTAAGTGATAGCCAGATGCTGAACTCGTATACACGTGCGTAACTGCTGCACATGTGTCACACGACCTTGCGCGGCGCTGAGGCGAGAGGCCCATCTCGAACACGGAACCGCCCTCCGTCCTTTTCTATGTTGCAGCTGTTTGAGACGAATGTGTGCGGCGCTAGAGCGAGATCTCCGTGCTCCATCCTCGTAACAGTTGCACGTATTAGGACGAGTGATCGCCGAGCTACTGCGAGAGTCCCATTTTGAAAACGACTTGTGCGCCATCTTTGTGGCTGCTGCAGGCTTTCAGGGCGAATGTCCGCGGCGCTAAGGCGAGAGCTCCATTCAGAGAACGCCATGCTCTCCATCTTTCAACCCTTGCACATGTAGCGCTTCAGGGCCGTACATGGTGAGGAAATTTCAGTCGAAACGCTCCGCCCGCCCTACCCACACGTCTGGGGGTGCGGCATGGAGGAGTTATCTAGAAGGAAAGGGATGGACGAGGAGGAGGAGGGATGATGCAGGGAAGGATGGATGAAGGATGGAGGAAGGATGAGGGCAGAGGGTGTGAGGGCGGAGGGCGTAGGGATGGAGGGCGCGGAGGGGAGGTCGGAGGTGGTAGCGCGGAGGGTTGAGGAGGACGCTGAGGATGATGGGGAGGATCCAAATGACAGTTGACGGTGACGACGATACAGGATGATGAGCAGCAGGAAGGGGAGGAAGCGTCCAGCCGTGTCGGTGACATCCGCTTGCCGCTTCTCTTCCTGCCCATACCCCTCCCTCCTTTCCCTCCCCCGCTCCCCCCCCTCCCTCTCCCCCCCTCCCTCTCCCTCCCCTTCCTCCTCCTCCACTCCTCTCCTCTTCCTTCTCCTCCCGAATCATGCGGTTGATAACCCAGCTTAAGATCTGGTATTGTAATTTGTGTGTTTGCTATGTTGACGCAGTGCTTCGTGAACTTGGCAGAGGTTGTACTCGTCGTATTACCCCCACTTGGGCTGAATATCTCGTCAGGATTGCTCGTGGAATGTGTCATAAGGTTTGAATGCTGCTGAGAAGCGAAGTCGTTGTCCTGTGCAGCTTTGCCTTCCTGTGTAATTCGTCAGGTTGTGTAGGCATTCATTGACTGTCAGATGGCCATACTCATATTCATACTCATACCCTCCTCCTTTCTCCCTCCCTCTCCCCTTCTTTCACCCTCTACCGTCCAGAACGGACAACAACATCATGGAGGACATAGACGGCGATGGAACGACGCTGTCCGTAAGTCTGTGCATCGCTACACCACATCATGGATATTGAGCACCAGATAATACGCAGGAGACACGAGCTCAATGGCAGCACGTGGCTACAATCGGCTACAGCCGGTGAATGGGGGCAATCGGCTCCTGTACCCAAAGAAGGCAGGCATTTGCGGAGGGCTACAGAAACGCCCACCCATTTGTTTTCGTCTTCGACACCGTGGCCTCACCCGCTCCGCACTCAGCGCTTGGGCGGTTGCCCGCATGCTCTTTCTGCCCTGATCCCTCCTCGCACCAGGCCGCGTGGGAGGCAGGGGAGGGCTGATCGAACAGCGAGGAGCGGGACACAACGGCTCCAGGAGTTCCGCGCAGGTTTCCTTGGCATCGCATTTTTTCTCGGCGAGAACCATCGAGGACCATCCTGGACCACCGAGCAAAAAAAACACGCGCGAAATCGAAACATGCACGGGAAATGGACGTCCGAGCGACGGCAAGTTCCTGGGGTCGGCGATGGAAGTTTCCTCCCCGCCACCGCGGCGCTGGGTGGGGGGCCCCGCGCCGAGGCCCCCTCCCAGCGTTGCGAGGGGGGTGCGGCGCCGACCACGAAATCTCTGCGGACCTCCCCTCCTCCTCCTCCTCCTCCTCCGCCTCCTCCTCCTCCTCCTCCTCCCTCCTCCTCCTCCTCCTCCTCCTCCTCCTCCCTCCTCCTCCTCTCCTCCGCCCTCCTCCTCCTCCTCCCTCCTCCTCCTCCTCCTCCTCCCTCCTCCTCCTCCTCCTCCTCCTCCTCCTCCTCCTCCTCCTCCTCCTCCTCCTCCTCCTCCTCCTCCTCCTCCTCCCCAAAGCCGGAACTCCAGAAGCCTACGTCATACCGGCAAGTGTCCTTTCCAGACGGCCACCGGACGCGCGGCGCGGCCGCCTGGCCCCCCGCCCTTCGGCGAGGTCTTCGCCCTGTGCCACGGCTGCTGCGCCGTGGGCGGCAGGGGCAACGAGTGCACGTCGTGCCCCGGGGGCGTTCTCCTTCGCCCCCTCTCTGTGCGGGGGTTCGTAGGGGGGGGGGTTATCCCAAGGTGGGGCTGGGGGACGAACCCAGCTGGATGCTCACAGTTCCTTCGTCTGGGAGTAAACACATATACATATACATATACAGCCATACCAATGTCAAACTTTAAGGTTATATAACGTGATGCGTCCCGCCTTCTGTCCTCACTTTGTCCTTTTGCTGTCACGACCGCCTCGTCCATTGGTTTTACTCAGCAGCTTGTGGCTATGTAGAGGCGTCGTTGCCATTCCTGGCCCCAGTCGGGGCTGCTGGACTTCGGGTGGCCCCTTTCAGTCAGTACCTCTCGCCGTAGCCTCGCCCAAGGATCTGTCCCCTGGCGGGGGGGTCGTATGCCAGAGACGGAGGAAGAGCGCTACGGTCGGATTGCGTTGAGGCGCGATGGTTTACTGGTCAGTCTGCAGTGCTGCGACGATTGTATTGTGGGCCCCCGTCGCCCGAGCTGGTGACCGATGGCGAAAACGAGCCCAGCCCAGGATCATCGGTCCAATCAGTGCGTTGGGCGGCAATGGCTCGACGACTCGTCTGGCTGCCCGACATGCTACCTGGCCTCGCTTGGAGTCACCACTTCGTCTGCCATGCGCTGCGGACGCCCCTCCCGATATCGATGGAGTCGGCGATGTTCGGGAGCCTTGAGACGGGGGTCAGTGCAAACGGGGGTCAGCCACGGCACCGGATCCTGCAGGATCCTGCGGAGACCCCCTCTGGCTGACCTGGGTTAGCGGGCCGCTCGTGGCCGCGAGGCGGCCGCACATATTGGCTGACCCGGGTTTGCGAAGACCTGCGTTGCAGTTTTTTGTTCCTGCATTGCAGTTTTTGGTTTCCTGCTGACCTGGGTCAGGATTGACCCGGGTCAGAAGATCCCCGAGATGTTGTCGCTACAGGACGAGGTCGAGAGGTTCGACCAGAGCCTGAACGCGAGGGCGGTGCAGAATCCTGTGCTGGCGGCGCCCCCTGGCGGCGAGCCTCGCCGCGAAGCCCGCCGCGGTGCGGGATGGCGGGGCATCCTGGCGCCCGCGTGCTGGGCATCGGGTGCGCGCCTCCGCCGCTGGCGTTCCGCTTCGCCCGGTGGCGCGGCATGCAGCCTGCTGGGCGGTCTCGGCGGTCTCTCCCTCGACGCGGGGGCGTCTCCTTCGCCCGTGCGGCCGGCGGTGACCCAGGGCTGCGGCGGCCGAGTGCTGTGGGAGGAGGAGGAGGAGGAGGAGGAGGAGGAGGAGGAGGAGGAGGAGGAGGAGGAGGAGGAGGAGGTGGGAGGGATGGAGGAGGAGGAGGAGGAGGAGGAGGAGGAGGAGATGGGAGGGATGGAGGAGGAGGAGGAGGAGATGGAGGGATGGAGGCGGCCAGGCGGCGCGATCTTCGACCAGGCGGTGCTTGCCGACAGAGCGGGTCCGCGGGCCCACAGGCCGAGGGCCGCGACTGGGCCCCCGGCGGCTCGGCCTCAGCCCCTGGGGCACGCGCCGAGGACGGGCTGCTGGACGCGGAGGGAGAGGTCCCGTGGGCGCCGTCGCGCGCCTGGTGTCGAGCGCCTGGCAGGGCGTCGTGGACGGCTGCTTCGTGGAGGTGCTGTCCATGGGCACGAGCGCACCCCGGCCCGCCCCCGCGCTGTGATGCAGCTTCGGCGCGGTGGACGGGTCGGCGCTGCACCTCGACACCCAGCCTGCCGCCCGGTGCGCCGCCGTCATGCAATCGCTTCAGTGGTCGGTGATTCAGCTTGAGACGTGCCGCGTGCGGGCCTCGCGAGGCGGCCTGGGGCCGCGGCTGCAGGCGGGGGGCCCCGCCGCCGCTGCGGGGGTGGGGGGGCCTGCCTGGCGCGCCCGCGGGACCAGGGTCAGCTGGCTTGGCGTCGGGCAGAGATGAGGAGGGCGCCCCCCCTCCCCCCCCCACGACGAGCTGGCGGCGGCGGTCATCGAGCTCTGGAGGCGCCTGAAGCTGAAGAGGTCGATTAGCGCATCTGGGGCAGCTCGTGCGGATGCGGCCTTTCCGGCAAGCGGGTTGCTAATCATAAGAAGGAGGAGAAGGAGGGCGACGGCGAGTTTGGTTTTGGCGGCGCCTCGCACGTTGACGGGTTCGATCGAAGACGAAAAGGGCGGGTATCGAGGGTTTGGGAAATTCGCGTTATTCGACACTCGAGCAGATAAAGGCGAACAGTCTTAACATGATTGTTGCTGTTGTTGTTGTTGTTGTTGTTGTTGCTGTTGTTGTTGCTGATGCTGCTGCTGCTGCTGCTGCTGCTGCTGATGTTGTTGTTGTTGTTGTTGGTGGTGTTGTTATTGTTGTTGTTGTTGTTGTTGTTGTTGTTGTTGTTGTTGTTGTTGTTGTTGTTGATGGTGTTGTTGTTGTTGTTGTTGTTGTTGATGGTGTTGTTGTTGTTGTTGTTGTTGTTGTTGGTGTTGTTGTTGTTGTTGGTGTTGTTGTTGTTGTTGTTGTTGTTGTTGTTGTTGTTTGTTGTGATTGTCGTGGTCCCACCCGCGACCCAACCGCGACCCATCCCGCGACCCACTTCGGGACCCATTCCGCGACCCACCCCGCGACCCACCCCGAGACCCACCTGCGACCCAACCCGCTTTCCACCCGCGACCCACCCCGCGACCCACCCGCGACCCAACCCGCGACCCACCCACGACCCAACCCGCGACCCACCCGCGACCCACCCCGCGACCCAATTGCGACCCATTCGCGACCCATTCGCGACCCACCCCGCGACCCACCCGCGAGCCACCCCGCGACCCACCTTCAAGGGAGGAAAAACCACCCGGACCCGACAATTGACGTTTAGTGAACCGGCCCTGGGCGTTGACTAAACAGCCCTGCCCTGTTTGATTCATTTTTTGTGTGCGTTTTCTAAACGGCTTCGCTTGTCGGTGTGATTATTTTGGGGTGGATTTTCTGCCCTTTACACCCGCGACTCACCCGCGACCCAACATCGACCCTCCCGCGACCCACCCGCGACCTACCCACATTGATTTAACGAAGAAGTCGGCGCCTGCGGCGGGCTCGTTGTATAATTTGTGAAACTTTGGCGCCTGCGGCGGGTATCTCCAGAGTCTAGCAAATTGCCGACGTCCCCGCCGCCCCCTCACTCTTATCCGCATCTGCGGGGTTTACGCAGCATTATATTGTGGCCCTTGTTGCGCCGTGTTCCTCGGAAGGAACGGGGTGGGGGAGGAGGAGAGGATTGCACTGGTGGTTGCAAGGATGGTTGCGTCATCTGTCTAGGTTGCTGCCAGGTCTTGCGGCCAGTGCGATTGTCCCAGTGTCCACATATCTATGTGCACCGATTCATTGTTTGGTTGTGTGTGGGTGTATGTCTGTGTGTCGTCCCTGCGCACTACCACGCAATGTGGTAAATTTGAATAGCGTGCATCCCGCATGTGCTTACGTTCTCCGCCGACTGCTGTCACGAGCGCGTCGGAGGAAGAAGTGCCCGTGGATGTCGTCATGCGTTTGATCAACCCGTCTTTTGTAGATGCGTAGCCGCAGTTTGATGATGTACGACGTTACGCCCTTTCTGCTCTGATGTTTCTCTGGTGCCGCACACCTCTTAGCAACATGTTGAGGTCCGCAATGCCGCTTGGAGGTAATCGCAAATCTGTGACCTCGAACCATGCGATGCTACGAACTCGTTGGTCGAGAGGTTTGGGGACATGACTGCTCTTCGCTGTTTCATGCCACGCAGCATACCAAGATGGCTTGGACAATCACCCTATGTAAACGCACCTTGCCAGGTACTTGAAAGACAAGATGGCCAAGCACATCTCGAAAGGCTATGAGGACAGTCTGTGGTGGCACGTGGCTGCGACGACCGGTAATGGACGTTACGCTGAAAGTCGAGAAGCCAGTGGCGGCTGGCAAGATGGAAGAGGGAGGGACGGGAGGTGCTGGACTGCACGTGTGTTCGGGGACTCCGCCCTGCGCACCACGCGCGAGTGCAGCCTATACAGGCAGGCCGTGGCGGGGAGGACGGGGGAGAGAAGGGGGGCAAGGCCGACGGGGCGCGGCGGGAGGCGAGAGGAACGAGGAGGGGGGATGGGACAGTGGATGGTGGAGGTGGAGGGCGAGGGGACACGCTTGGCATCGCTCGGACGTGTGCCTTTTTCCTTCGGCGAGGACCATCGAGGAGCCTCCTTGATCAGTTGGCGAAGAAACCACGCACGAAACCGAAAGAAACACAGGGACACGCTTGGCATCGCTCGGACGTGTGCCTTTCTCCTTGGGCGAGGACCCTCGAGGAGCCTCCTTGATCAGTTGGCGAAAAAAAAAAACCACGCACGGACCCGAAAAAAGCACAGGGAATGGACGTCCGAGCGATGGCGGAGGTGGAGGGCGAGGGGACGCGTCCTTCCGCCGCACTGCCTCCTCCGAGAGCCGTCCGGGGTCTGCGGCGGCCCGGCACCGGCGCCGGCCAGCGGGGAATGGGGGAGCAGGGTCGGGGCTCTGGGTTCGGGCAGGCTTTTGGTTTGTGCTCGGGCTCCAGGGGACGCCTCCTCCTCCTCCTCCTCCTCCTCCTCCTCCTCCTCCTCCTCCTCCTCCTCCTCCCCTCCGCTGACCGGATCTTGCAAAGTTGTTTTGGGCTCCAGGGGCCGTTTTACGTCCTCGGGACCGTGAGACACCGACCCTGAGTGAAGCATTGCGAAAGATGGACCCCGGGAGGCGTCCAGGGACCGATTTTGAGCGGATTTGGCTTCATCTCCCCTCCTGGCCGATTTTGGGAGTCCCAACCAGTGCAGGTCCCGCGGCCGCCTGCAAGCCTTCTCCCTCTCTCCCGTTCTCCTCCCCCCTCCCCTCAACTGGAAATTTGGACTCCTTGGGAAGGGGGTGGAAAGGTGCTGTACGAACCGCGAGGTTCCGTGGAGCATTCGGGGCCCAGGTGGGTCTCCGCTGTTTTTGCGAGCCCTCGCTCCGTCATCTGGTCCCTATTCAGTTGGTGCTGGCGGCTGCGCAGCTTTCCGACTCTCTTTTCTCCGCTCGTCCAACAGCAAGAATACGATTTTTGTTGTTTCTCAGTTGGTCGATGTCTTCGCCTTGGAGCATGGGGCGGTTTGGAAAAGGCCTTGCCGAGGAGTAGTTACGCAGTGTGCAGAGACACCGTGGTGCTTATCACCCTGGCCCCGCGGTGGGCCAGGCTCCTGCCCTACGGACGGTGCCCGTCTCTCTGTCTGTCCCTTCCTTCTCCCTCCTGCCCTTCCTCTCGGCACCGCACGGGCGTATGCGTCTTTTCCTCGGCGAGGACCATCGAGGAGCATTCTTGATCATTTGGCGAACAAGCCACGCACGAAACCGAAAAAATCACACGGAATGGACGTCCGAGCGATGGCGAGTCCTCCGCCCCCCTCGGCGGCGAAATCCGGACCCTGCCTGGGGCTCGGGTGTCGCCACCTGCCCCTTTGATTTGCCGCAGGAAGAGGGGGGGCGAGCGGGCAGAGGGGAGAGCACGGGGCCGAACACGAGGAGCACGACGTGGATGAAAGGTGATCATTTGGAGGGTCCCGAGGCTTGATGGTGTTGGTAATGGTACTGCTGCTGATGATTCGGGAAGGTGGCCACGACGATGGGGTGGATGACAGTGACCAAGAGGGAGGAGGAGGAGGAGGAGGAGGAGGAGGAGGAGGAGGAGGAGGAGGAAACAGAGGAGGAGGAGGATGAGGAGGAGAAGGAGGAGGAGGAGGAGGAGGAGGAGGAGCAGCAAAAGGAGGAGGGGGAGGAGTGGGAGGAGGAGCAGCCGGACAAGGAGGCAGAGTTGAGGCGGGGCCATCCGGCGCTGGTGTTCCCAGCTGCTCGCTCAGGACAAGGGCGACGCGGCCGTCGCGCTGGCCAGTGCTTTCGAGGCGTGACCGCTCTGACACGTCGTTCTCCTCGTCCTCGCTCTCCTCCCTCGCTCTCCCTGCTCCAGCCGCTAAGGCTTACCGCCAAGCTGACACGGCCAGGTGTGATGCTAGGTAGCATCAGCGAATTAACCGACACAGTCGCAATACCCGTAATTCGGTAACTTCTCTCCCCCTCCCAACTCTTATCGCTCATCGTGGGCAAGAAGAGTGCACCTAACTACTCTACTCGGCGTCTCCGCCGTCGAGCGCTGGCCCGGATCCCAGCTCCGCGGCTGCGCTCCAGAGTGCCTCTGGACGCGGGTTTCATGTCACATGCGGTGTGATCAGAAGCCGTCAGGACAGTGCATTCCAAATCAAGGTCAGGGGTCGTTAATACATTCGGGCCCAGGCTTCGATTACATACGTTGGCTAAGCGTGAGACAACATCACGATCTCGGAGTAGGCCGAGGGGGGGCCGGGCCGGTGCCGTATCCCCCCATGGGGGGATTGGGGGGGTCCCAGGGCTCCCAGGACTGCCCTGACCCGCTCCCAAACGCGCCACGACACGCCCAGGGGGCCCTAAAGATTGTCAAGACAGCCCAAGAGGCCCCAGACACGGCGAAGGTGGTCTCAGGACGGCCGACGACGCCGCCAATACGCCCCAAGAGCGCCTCCAGAGGCCCCTCCAAGGGGCCGCAGACGCCGAAAATCATTCATTTTCCGATGGTTTTTGAAGCAGTTTTGCGCTCTCGCATGTTCCGCCTCCCAACGGTCCCGAACGGCGTCAGAGACCCTTCAGATCGCTCCAAGACGGTCGAAGACCCGAGAAAGCCCAGAGACAGCCCAGGAGGCCACCCAGATAATTGAAGAGGGCTTCGAGAGCGCCCCAAGAGAGCGCCAAGAGCGACCCAAGAGGGGCCGCAGAGTGCGATATTTCAAGGTCTCTGGCCTGAGAGGCTCCTAGGACGCCCCCTGAGGCCATCAAGATGCTCCCAAGAAGCCCCGTGAGGCTTCCAAGAGGCCCCCAGGAAGCCCCAGTAGGCCCCCAAGGGGCCCCCTTGCGGGCCCCCAAGTGACCTCGGTAAATCGTATTTGCCGACAGCTTTCAGGGAACATGATTCCTTGGGCTTCCGCCCACCGTCCCAGCCATGTTTCCAATAGGCTTGCCGACAAGGCCAAAAGGGGCCCCTCGGTAAGCCCCCAGAGGCCCCCCTCTTAAGAGAGCCGAACAAATCATGCTCCCCGAAAGCGTCCCGGAGACGTGATTCTCGGGTTGCCGCCCGCTGCCCAAACCATGTTGCCTAAACGCCTGCCAGGAAAAAAAAACGAGAGTCACAAGCAGCGCTACCAGCCGCCACGCTCGGAAACGCATCAGGTCCCGAAGCCTCCGGAGGCACCCAACGACACCCCGACAAATCATGTTCCCAGGAAGCCTTCCAGGAACATGATTCCTCAGCTTTCCGCCCCCAGCCCCAACCATGCGTCCCAAAATGCTTGCCGGGCCACCCCTCTCTTGGATCGTCTTCGCGTCCTTCTGGCTGCCCCTGAGACCACCGTAGGAATCGAGATCCCATGATCCCATGAGCTGAAAAGTTTAAATTCCTTTTACTTGCATACCGCTAACGTATCGGCACCGACATTGGTGCACACGCAGCGCTGGTGTCCGCGCAGCGCCAAGGAGAAGGAGTAGCTCACCTCGCCCTCTAGCACCTCTACCAACGGATAATCGTATAGGCTCGACTCCTCGGTCGTAACCCTATACGCACAGTATGCCACCCTTCCGCTGGACCCCCCAAGAGCCTTCGAAAATGGCGTCAGTTGCGCAGATCGATTACCCCCCGTAGTCCCCGTGGTCTCGTGGTGGTCCCCGTAAGACCTTCCTCTGCTGGACCTTCCAGGAGCGCGCGAAAGTGGCGACATTTCTGCAGATCGCAGCCCCCCAGGGGCGGCGAGGTTTCATGGTGGTCCCCGTAAGAACCCCTCAGCTGGACCCCCCAGGAGCCCCCGAAAGTGGCAACAGTTTCGCAGATGCCCTTCCGGTGGGCCTCCCAGAAGCCCACGAAAGTGGCGACAGTCTCGCTGATCGCAGCCCCCCAGGAGACGGCGAGCTATCGTTGAGACGAACCTCCGCTGGACCTCCCAGAAACCCACGAAAGTGGCGACAGTTTCGCAGATCGCAGCCCCCCAGGGGGCCGCCCCGAGGAAGGTCGGAGGGGGGAGGGAGGAGAGAGGCGGCAAACGGAAAAGGAGGAGGAAGAGGACGCGACCATAATGCTCTTTTCAAAAGGAGTACCAGCAAGGGAGGGTTGGGGAAGAAAGGAATGTCCACAATTCCCGGTTTTTTAAGTTCGCCCCCTTGTATTCTTGTTCAGTAAGACCATACTTAAGGCCCCCACCGCCACCCAAGAAACATACCGGGAAACCTGTGAGGGCCCCAATCGTCGAACACCAAAAGGAAAACTACGATTCCTGCGTTTCCGCAGTTTACATTGTATACGCTTCCGAGGCTTGTGCAGGGCCTCCAACAGAGTCCTTAGATGCAAGGAGCGTCCAACATGATATTCCATGCGCTAGCCTACCCAGCCTAGCTAGAAACTCAGCGTGCGCGAAACGCGCGCGATGTTTCTAGTATACAGAAGTATATCAAGACATGCATAGTTCCATACCTATGTATTAAACATACGTGCGCGGGTATCCATATATATATATACATACACATACACATATACATCACAGAGTGAATGTGCACACATGGGAGCAACGACTAAGATATCATTGGTGCTAAACTAATGGTTGTTTGGGCATTCGTGAGGAGGAGCAGGTTGCTCACCGTGCTGCTGCGGCTCATCGGCACACATATATCTATATATACATATATACATTACGACATCACGGATGCATGAACATAAGAATATATGACTATCTGCAAATGTTGATGTATGTATGCGTAGATCGATGTGCATAGATGCATTGGGTATCTATGCGCCCGTATTATTGACACTGTATATCTCTCATTGTTGGTGTGTATTTCTCTCTGTTGTTCTCTCTCTTTTTCTCGATGTATACATGTATATGTGTGTTTTGTTGTTTTTTTTTTTCTCTCTCTCTCTCTCTCTCTTTCTCTCTCTGTTGGGTTCATAAACATGCCTTAATGTGGTAATGTGCTTCGGCTCTCGCGCTCGCATATGGCCTTGTCTCTTCTTCTGAACGCAGGTCGCCGAGTCAGAGTTCATAGAACGTGCCAAGATGAAAAGCCTCACCGACGGCGCCGAGGCAGCTCTGGCCCCAGCATCTTGCCACGAAGTGTTCTGTGTGGCATGTTCACATATGGGCCGCGTGCAGTTTTGTATGCAAGCTTCACGTAGTGCAGGTCTGTCGTGGAACTCTCGCAACGGCGGGCTTGGTGAGCGGTTTCATGCACAAGGTTGTGCCCGAATGAAGACTGTTCGTTTATCGAAGCATCTAACGAGGTACGTTTGCCAGGGAGGATGGCGGACAGTGAGACGGAGACGTTTTGTGCTCTTGTCTAGCAGGGCGAGGCCGGCCGTGGGGATGACGGCAATCTGTCAGCACCCCAGTGATCATGATTGTGATCCCGATTCGGATGTCGGGCAGATGGCAAAGGGGTGGGTATACCAGGTGTGATCGGGAATTGCAGGAACGTGTTTTTAAAGGGACCCTCAACTCGGAATTTGCCGGAAGCGTTCGTTGGACATGGTTGTTTTCGGGCATTCGATTCTGCCCGAGCTTCGGAAGAGAATTCGTCGCGCTTCGCGTATCCCCACCAGCCCATTCAGAAGCCCTGCCTACCAGAGCTGACGTGAAATGTACATGGGAGACGCATGTAGTGAAACAGAGCAAGGAGGGCGTCGAGCCATCTAAGAGGCTATCTTGGAGCTTCGGGACATCTTGGGAACATGTTATGGACATTTTGGATGGGCATCGATCATATGAGAAGGGGTCCTCGCTGTCCCTCCCCCCCTCAGGAGCCCTCAAAGCCGCCTCTGGGCATCATCTGCGGGCTCTTGTTGGGGGGTCTTGGGGCCCTCTTGGGGCCCTGTTGAAGCCCTCTTAGGGCGGGCCCCCCCTGTACAGACACCATGAAGGAGTTGTGCTTCTCGGGGAGGTCCTGGGGGCGTCTCCGAGGGCACTTAGAACCGTCTTGTGATCCCGCTGGGGCCTCTTGGAGGCATGATGGAAGGCATGTTGATCAATCTTGCACTATTTTGACGCATCTTGGAGGCCATCTTGGAGGCCTTCTTGGAGCCATCTTAGGCGAACACGGACCTTCTTACGACTCGCGACCCCCCCAGAACCCCCTGGGAGGGGAAGGGGAGGGTACCCCTCCCCAAAGGGAGAGGGATGGGTTTCTGTTGGAAGAGGCCTCGATGCTGTTCCAACTCGTCCGCCTTGCCACCCCTCAAGAGTTATCATCGAGCACATGTTTTGCAGTTGAACCTGCTGTGCGGGCTTCTTGATAATATTTCTTTGCGAGCCCCAGACCCACCCTAGCTTACCATGGCGTCATGGGCGTCATTGTGTGTCCCTCACCCAGTGTGTATCCCTCCGCCCAGTGTGTATCCCTCCGCCCACTGTGTTTCCCTTCCCCCACTGTGCGTCCCTCCCCCAATGTGTTTCCCTCCCCTCAGCGTTGTCGCCCCCAGGTGTGTGTGTGTGTGTGTGTGTGTGTTCCGTGGGTTTGTACGATCTGTTCGGGGTCTTCGTGCGGTTTCTTGGGGCCCTCGGAAAGCCCCCGGGAACGCCCCAAGAGGCCCGAAGAAAGTCCGCAGAAGGGTCGCAGCGCGAACTTCCGCTCTGGGGCCCTCCTTGGGGCCCTCTTGGGGCCCATGTCGGTCTTTTCTTGGGGCCCTCTCGGGGCCCTCTCGGGGCCCTTCTCCAGTGCCCTCCCATCCTCCCGCAGGGCCTTTTGAGGGCTCGCTCATGAGGTTCCCGAGCCTCCATCGCACAGAGCTCCGAAGGCTCCCCACTGCGGGCCGGCAGTCCCGCCCCCCCGCGGTGGTTGGTGCGGGCTGTCCCCGGCCCACCAGGCCCGTGTCCCTTGGGGCCTGCCAGACCTCTCGGGCAAGAATGTCAGCCTGCAAAATTCGGGTCGGGCGAAAGGAGGGGTTTGGGAAAGGGGGGGTTACGAAATTTGCTGCATGCAGCTGGTTTCGGCCCCGCCGCCGGGCCCATTCCTCCATACATGGGCGCCTCCCGGCGCCGGGAGGCGCCGGGAAAATCAGCTTCGTGAGCTGATTCTCAAACCCCCCCTTTGCTATCCCCCCCTTTCGCCCGACCCGAAAAGTGTTCTCGTCTCCGCAAGTGGACAGGACGTGGATCTGGTGGGCGCCCGTCACGTTTGAGGAGTTCCCGCTGGTGGAACTTATTAAGGGGGGGCTGTCCTACATCGTGAACAAAACGGAAGTATTGAACACATGATCCAGGTGTGTTGCAAGAGCAGCCCACTTCCGCTTTCAGAAACCTCAGCGCCCGACGTGTTTTTTGCATGCGCCTTCCAGAATGCGTCATTTTCGCAGGCGCCCTTCAAGACGTCTCGTTTTCGAAGGGGCCGTCCAAAACGCTTCATTTTCGCAGGCGCGTTGCAAGAGTGAGGGAAGGAGGAAGAGGAAGGAGGAGGAGGAAGAGGAGGAGGAGGAGGAGGAGGAGGAGGAGGAGGAGGTGCTAAAGCATGTAGTGGCAACTGGGGAAGCAGAGCGAATGCCAGTGGGTGCGTTAACGCAACCATATATCATTGGAGCGTTCGCCCAGGTTCGCTGTTTAAGCAACATCGTACAGCTACTACGTTAAATCCTCTGGGAGAGTTTGCATGGTAGCGGAGCGTCGGTTGCAATGGCAGGATCCGCAGGACCGTCCTGTTGAACTTCGCGTACCTGCGGACAGGGAACCTGGGATTAAACAAGACCGCCGTCAGAGGTACATGGGCATCTGCGCCACGTCAACGACCAATTATAATTTTGCATATGTGAAGACGGCGCTGCGCGGCACCCATGAAAATATGCAAGTTCTCATTGGCGACCGCTTCTCTACAGACACCAAGGAGGTTACCCAACACAACGTTTTCGAGATGCTGCAAATGCAACAGAAAATGAACACCATGCTGCGATGCACCGCTAGCCGAAACTCAGTGGGGGAACGACATGCGCGCAGGCTTTACCGACAGGCCGAGAGCGTGTCAGCGGACACGGACACGCACGGATACACGTTACGGGGGGTCCCTAAGTTGAGCGATACCTGTAAAGGATGAGGAAAAGGCGGTGGCGGCAACGGCAAGCCCATCAGCGTGTTCGAGGCCCTGCTGAGCCTCGAGACTTTTACCGGCGACAGAGCTCATGTTCGGAGAGTGGAATGACAAGTTGTTCTTTGACACAATTCCGGTATAACGATCGCGGGGCAGTCAAGGCCCTTAACAAGATATTGGAGGAAATGGATGGAGTCTTACTGGGTGTACATTCGGAGGACTTGTTGCGGATTCTGACAGGGTGATTAACATTGGCTGGGCATCACAAGGCCAGCAAGGCAGCGACGGGGCAGACGAGGACGGGGGCAAACTCGACGAGGATCTCTGGCACGACCTTAACGACAGATTTGAAGGATCTGACTCGCGCGACAAGATCAATCTATTAACGGGCGAAGATGGAGTTGCCGCGTACCAGAACAACTACATGTATTGCCCGGTCGCCACCGTCGTTGCGCTGGCGCAGCACATGTCACAGGGCATGGACCCTAAACAGCGGGAGCGCCTTTCGGAGGCGTCAGGTAAACTAGGGGGGCGGGGCGCTTGGGCGCGGGCGTTGGAGAATCATGGGATAATCTGCGCGCTGCCATTGCCGCTCGGCCCCCCCCCCCCCGCGCGCCAGTGAACCGCGCGATCGGGCGGCGCGGCGGATGGCAGCGCGGACTTCGCTCTGCGCCCGATGATCTCTCAACGCAGACGCGCGCCGAAAACTCCGCGCCAGATGCGAGGATGGAATAGAAGCTGTGGCGCAGAAAATAAACGACGCCATGGGCGCGGGGGGGCGCCGATCACGGCTCGGGCGATTCAAATTGCAATTTGCGAGGTTGGGATTTTCAAGCATGGGTCGATGGCGGCGGCAACTGGTGACCGGGCGACGGTCTCGGCAAGGCGGGGCTGGGCGCGGCCGCGACGCCGTAGACGCGGCTTCCGAAGGAAAGGGTGGAGGCGTCGAATATTACGACTGCGTCGGTGGATTTGAAAGCGCGACCAAGGGCCGCGGGAAGCCCGAGAGTAACGGAGGTGGAGGAAGAAGGGGTCGAGGAGCCAGAGGCAAAGGGGGCGGCCGAAACCCGCGGGGGAATTGCCCTGCAGGGAAGCACGGCGGCAAAGGTCAGAACCGAGGCCAGGGCGGTTGCGTCGGCGAGGCGTCCATTCCGCGCGCCGATCGCGAACGTTGCAAATGCATTGGCAATGGGCGCGTCGCAACGGACTGCCCAAAGGCGGCCAACGAGGCGGGGCGCAGTGGCCAGTGGAGCTCGAAGTTCCGCGCCCGCCATGCTCGGTCAAACGCAGGAGCGCGGCTTCGCGGATTAATGAGCGAGGGTGATCGAGTTGATCCTGCGATTTACTCTGCAGAGCCATCGGCTACCCCCAAAACAGTCCAATGAGTGGAACAAACAGAGGCACGATCAGAAACGGATTAACGGGCGCGAGGCAACCCACGCGCCCGCGCGCCCTGCCAGCGATATCAACGCGATGGCGGCAGCAACCGTGGAGACCAGTCGATTAACGACAGCGTCAATCACGGCGGCCGCAGGTGGTTCGGAAGCGCCGAGGTGCTGAGCTGGCGGGGGCCGGGGGGGTCGCGCGGGGCGTTAGCGCGGTGCCCGAGAGCGACGCGAGGATCGAGACCGCCATCGTCATTGTGAGTTCTAGTGCGCGAAATACCGTTGGACCTGCTAGAGTCGGCACCGCATTCCCGATTCAACCGCTAGCGCGGGCAAGATTGGCACGCGTTAGAGCGCTGTTAACGGTGCCATCGTCAGTGACAGCGGGCAAAGAGTGATACTTGGGCGGAGTGGGAGCGGGCTGGATGCGAGCATGCCCATGCAGGCGGCCGGTGCCAACAATGCATCGGGATCGGGGCGTGAAATGGTGGGGCCAGGTAACCGAACAGCGCTCGATCGCGGCGGCAGTGGATGGCCGCGCAGTTGCGTTGAGCATACATGCCAGCGGCAAGAAAACAGAGATTCCCGAACGACGGCGCCGCCCCGTTCACCGTCGAAGCACCCGCGGG